CTTCCCCACCGCCCCCTCGAGCTTCAAAACCCCACCCCTTCCCCACCACAGCCCTGAGCCCAGTGACCCCATAACCTCCCCAGCCCAAGCCCCATAACCCCTGCAGTCCCCCAGCCCAAGCCCCGTTACTCCATGACCACCCTAGTCTGAGACCCCACCCCTTCCCCACCACAGCCCTGAGCCCAGCGACCCCATAACCTCCCCAGCCCAAGCCCCATAACCCCTGCAGTCCCCCAGCCCAAGCCCCGTTACTCCATGACCACCCTAGTCTGAGCCCCATAATCCCATCCATTCCCCCACTGCACCCCCAAGCACCATTACTCCCATGATCCCTCCAGACCGAGCCCCTTAATCTCCGTGATCCCCCCAGACCGAGCCCTGTTACTTTCGTGATCTCCCCACCACACTCCTTGAGCCCTGTTACTCTCGTGACCCCCACACACCCATCGAGCCCCATAACCCCACTCCTTTCTCCCCAGGGCCCCAAGCCATCCAGGAACCCCATAATCCCACCTTCCTCCCCAGGGCCTCCAGCCAACCTTCCAGCCCAGCCCCTGTTACCTCCATGACTCCACCCCCACCCACCTCTAGAACCCCATAACCCCACTCCTTTATACCCACCTACCCTTAAAATCTACAACCCCACCCCTGGGGTCCTTAGATCCCCAGGATCCTCAGTCGCTCCACCTGTCCCTAAAACCCTATAATCCCCATGACCCCAACCTCCCCCTACTCCTAGAGACCTCTAACCCCAGCCCTATTGCCCCCATAATCCGCATGACCCCCTCAATCCCCATGAACCCCCAAATTCCCCATCTACACCTAGACCTCCATACCCTGCACAACTATAGCCCCATAATCCCCTTTGGCCCCCCAGCTTTCCCCTACCCCTAGAGACCTAAACCCTTCTTCAGGCCCACGTGGCAATAATCCTTCAATCTCCCCTTCTACCTCAAAACCCTAGAGCTCTCCCACACCCCTGTTACCCAACGACCCTTATAATCCACAAACGTCACTGCCCATAATTCGCCTAAGACCTACAGCCTCAGTCTTCACTGCTGGTTTTTAGTCACTACCCACCTCTTCCCCTAATCCCCCTAGTCTGTTGCCCCAGACCTGAGTCCTACTCAGCCTCCGTTTCATGCCAGCTCCAAAACCCGAAAATCCAACACATCTCTAGAACTCCCTGCAAGTCAAAGGTCCCAGAGCCAATGCCCTCTAATCTTTTCCATCCATGTGCGGAACAATTGTTATGTGCCCCGAAACATGTGTGAATGTGCACCACCTGTAGAAACTCAAAACCTAGCTCTGGACGCTCTGCTAGTCAGTTAGGTGGCATTTGGATCTGTTCTGAGTGGCCGCACGAGCACACGGCTGACAGGAAAAACTGCCCAGAGCTCTGCAACTCCCCATCCAACCACCAAAATCCATCTCAGTACTTAAGTACTCCTTCCCGGTTCTTCAGTCACCCCAAAGCCTTCATCACACACCCTCCATCACCTACTTGCCCATCTCCATCCAACTTGACTGGTGCTTCTACACCGCCCCACCACCATTTCAAGCTAAACACTCTGGCTACGTCTACATTGCAACGCTACTTTGGAATGCCGGAGTATCCCGAAATAGCTATCTCATATCGTAACAGCAAGCCCGTTATTTAGGGCTCACTATTCCGACGTCTCTGTAGACCTCATTCCATGAGGCGTAAGGGACATTTCGGAATAGCAGGTTATTTTGAAATCTGGCACCATGTAGACTGCGCCAAATGACCAAATAAGCTATTTCAAAATAAGATCCAAATAAAATACACAATGGCTACGTCTACACTGGCCCCTTTTCCGGAAGGGGCATGTAAATTTCACTAGTCGTCGTAGGGAAATCCGCGGGGGATTTAAATATCCCCCGCGGCATTTAAATAAAAATGTCCGCCGCTTTTTTCCGGCTTTTAAAAAAGCCGGAAAAGAGCGTCTAGACTGGCCCCGATCCTCCGGAAAAGGGCACTTTTTCCGGAGGATCGGGGCCAGTCTAGACGCTCTTTTCCGGCTTTTTTAAAAGCCGGAAAAAAGCGGCGGACATTTTTATTTAAATGCCGCGGGGGATATTTAAATCCCCCGCGGATTTCCCTACGACGACTAGTGAAATTTACATGCCCCTTCCGGAAAAGGGGCCAGTGTAGACGTAGCCATAGTGTGTAAGCACAAAAGCGCACCCACACCTCAAAAGCACATCGTAAAAGCGATGCACTTTTGCACAAGAGAGTCCACACTGCATGGATGCTCTTGCGCAAGAAAGCTCTGATGGCCATTCACAGAATGGCCATCAGAGCACCTGTGCTTTTTCCTGTAGGCTTTTTTTGCGCAAACCCCCCTGCGGAGCATCCACACATGCTTTTTTGTGCAAGAGCTGTAGCGCAAAAAGGAGTTATTCCTTGTGGGGAGAGGAATAACTCTACCGGCAAAAGCCCTCTGTCCCGTCGATTTACTGGGGGGGTTTTGCACAAAAATGTCCTTGAGATGTGGACACTCTGCCGGTTTTTGCCGTTACGCCATTTCAACCAAGTGTACCTAAGGGTTGTCACTGGGAACCTGACTGGGCTCAAATTCAGTGAGGTAAACAGAACGGCAGCACCACCCTACCACGATCCATCCTGCTTCTTCTGGAGCAAAGGGACCACAATCGGTCCCTAAATCTGATGGCAACAGCTCCACAGTGCCAGGAGTAAGAACCACGCAGGCTTTCTGATACCCTGGGTCAGACAGAAAACCTCTTACGGCTGCTGGGGAGCAATTTCTCACACAACCCCCAAGGAGATCAAACTAGCTACAGGCATAAAGGGAAACAAGAAGACCTTTTATAAATACATTAAAAGCAAGAGGAAGACCAAGGACAGGGTAGGCCCACTGCTTAGTGAGGAGGGAGAAGCAGTAACAGGAAACTTGGAAATGGCAGAGATGCTCAATGACTTCTTTGTTTCGGTCTTCACCGAGAAGTCTGGAGGTGTGCCTAACGTAGTGAATACAAGCAGAGAGAGGGTAAGTTTAGAAGATAGGATACACAAAGAACAAGTTAAAAATCACGTAGGAAAGTTAGATGTCAGCAAGTCACCAGGTCCT